AAGTGGTTGCTTTTTTTGTTATAATCTTTGTTAAACTAGTTGACTTTTTAGAATAATATATGTATCACTTTGATGTACAAGTGGGTTTTAAATAAATAAGTAGGTAGCTAAAGAAAATAATCACAATCTGCAATTTACAAAAATGCTTTCTTCACTGCTTAAGGATTCATGATGGAAAAACTCACCATTACTTTAAAAAAAATTACCTTGATTTAGGGATGTCACTATAAACAATCTTTTTTTTTCTTTTTTCCTTTTTATTAATTTATTTTTTTATATATTTTATATCATTTTTCATTTTTGTACAATGTATGCATTTTCATCTTGGTTATCATCCCTGTAAAATTCCCAACACCCTTGTTTTGATCCTACTCCCTTCTCCCCCAACCCCCGTAGTGTGTCTCTGGTTTATAGTTGCTTGTTGATTTTGATTTTTACTTTATTATAATTAGTCTTTTTCCTGGTCCCTTATTTAGGTTTTCTAAATTCCTGCTATGAGTGAGACCACCCGGTATTTTTCTTTTTCTTTCTGGCTTATTTCGCTAAGCATGATCCCTTCCAGCTCCATCCATGTTGCTGCAAATGGCATGAGTTTATCTTTTTTGATTGCTGAGTAATATTCCATTGTACCACATCTTCTTGATGTACCACATCTTCTTGATCCAGTCATCTATTTTTGGGCATTTGGGTTGAGAAATCTACCTTAAGTCAGTGTAAACATGAGTATGGGTTTGTCATATGAAAACATGCTTTCCTCTTTCCTGATCCCTTAGCACAGGATAAACCCCTGGCTTATCCCGTTTAATACAGAATTTAAAGCCCTGAAAATTCTCCACACATATGTTATTAAATTTGGTCTTTTTCTTCTACTGATCTGTCTGATACTAATTTGTCCACTCTCAGAAGAGGAGTGGTGCAAATTTCACCCACACCCAGCATCAGGCACTTGCTCTGTTGCTTGTGGGCTACCAGATTGACATGAGATGTGCATGTAAAAAAAAAAAAAAAAACAACTCTGAAGAGTACCATACTCTTATTAGATCTAAATTCTCCCCCAAAGAAAAGATATTTGTGCTAGCCTTACCCAAATACATTTTAAAAAAAAGAATGGGACACTTGTCAGTTTCCCATGGATTTGGAAGTTAGTAATCCAAGATCACTAACTAGTCTTTAACTAATCAAAAGACTCTAGACTTGGGGCCAAGTTCAGACTTTTTTTTTTTTGGTTGGAATGGAATGGTCCACAATGGCCCATTACACACACACACACACACACAACACACTCACACACACACACACACACAGAGTCATCATGCTACAGGGTACCTCTATGACTATCAAAGACTGTGAAAGCACAAGCTAACACATTAACCTGCCATGGTTTCATGGATGCTAGCAGAAGACAAGAGATGACTGGGTCAGAGACAACCATCTTTATTGCTCACGGCAATAGTAGTAGTCAGGGGATCAGTATTTGCACTGCCTACTCCCTGAGGTCCTGTTCCCACAGGACAATTTGAAAGAGGTAGTTAGTACACAGTGGCCTGCATCTCAGGGTATGTTCTAAGAAACCCAAATTTTATTTTTGCAAATATTCTTACTGTAGTAAAATGTACATAACATAAAATTTACCATTTTAACAAGTCTTAAGTATATAAAGCAATGGCCCAAAATCTTTTATATTGGGCAGTAAGCCTGTCTGACCTTTAAACATGTTGGGGCGAGGGGGGTCATGATCTTTAACAAGTGAACAGTAAAGAAGGCTGGCCTTTGCTCCACAACAGCATGGTTTCTCTATCCCGGCACTATTGTCACTGTGGAATGGATTTTTTTTTTTTTTAAGATTTATTTATTTATTTATACAAGAACCGGAGTACAGGCCAGATTCGCGGGAGAGTGAGAAGATTCACCAGAGACAGAGCGGGAAACAGAACAGGCGGACTGATGATATACACTGCTGAGGGGAGCAGCAGGTGAGACAGGAGAGGTCTGCTGCAACATGTGGGACCCTCGCTGGCCAGATGGGATCGAACCAGCACTGCAGAGGCTGCAGACAGCTCCACAGCGCTGCGCTCAACCGCCTGCACAAACAGGGGAGGCCCTGAAATGGATAATTTTTGAGGGCTGTCATGTGCAGTACAAGATATTTAGCAGCATCTCTGGTCATTACACAGTAGATGCCAGTTGTATTCCCGGTATGACAATCATGAATGTCTCAGAAATTGCCAACTACCCCCCTTTAAAGCAAAATCATCATGTACTGTTGAGAATTTCTGTTTTAGAGGAAGTCACTATCTCTGTCTTTCAAACATCCTTGAAAACTTAGTTCAGGGCCTCCCCTGGTGGCGCAGGCAGTTGAGCACAGCACTGTAAAGCTGTCCGCATCCTCTGCAGTGCTGGTTAGATCCCTGCTGGCTGGCGAGGGTCCCACATGATGAGGCAGACCTCTCCTGTCTTGCCCACTGCTCCCCTCAGCAGTGTATTTGGTCAGTCTGCCTGTTCTGTTCCCCACTCTGTCTCTGGTGAATCCGCTCACCCTCCTGCACATCTGGCCTGTACCCTAGTTCTTGCATAAATAAATAAATAAATCTTAAAAAAAAAAAAGAAAAAGAAAAAGAAAACTTAGTACAGAACAAAGACTATTGGTGCCTACTCATGTGATAGAAACACAAGAAAGTGTGGAGAATTATCTCCCAAGAGAAGCCTAGATATTTACTTCTAAAACTTGATCTCCTTTTCAGGCATGGATAAATTACTTGGCCAATTGCACATGATATTTATACACGCACTCCCTTCTTTGTGACCCTTTGACTAAAATTACACAATGAGTGATTTAGATTATGAAAACTACTCCAAAGAAATTTACTAGGTTTGGGTCAAAGCTATCATTTATAACTAAGCCAAGTAATATATGATCACTACATTTCCTTTCTTATGCAGGAATTTTTCCTTTCCTGGGTTAATTTTCAACCCCTTATTTCTTTTTTTATCATTTAATACTTGCCCCTAAGCTCATGCCTGTGCCTTGAAGTTACACAGACCTGCATATAAATTCCAACTTGTCTACTTCACGGTACAATCTTAGGCAAATAATTCTACCTGATGAGCTAACTTTCTTCCCACATGTAAAATACCTACCTTGTCACAATTATATGAGATGAAAGTGCCTGGTACAGTGCCTGGCACTCAGTAGAGTAGATAATAAATAGTAGCTATTGTTTCATGAACTGTACCATGAGGGCACATCCTCGGCGTTGTTCTGACTACTCACGAGATTTTTACTTATCTCTCCACATTCTTCCTTTGTTTCTCAGGATATCTATAACATAACTGCTTCAGAAATGGAGCAAAAGGTCACCAGACAGTGGAGAGAATGACTCTATGGCCTGATCTCCTAGGCATCTTGTGTCAACCACCTGAGCTATAGACCAGTTCAACTCTGTTATTGACAGGGCCAGAGAAGAAAGTAAGTCTGACCTGTTAGTTTATTTCCTTCAAACCAGTATCAATTTGTGGCACGTGCCCAGCTCTTGCCAATTTGTCTAATTGGTCTCTCTTGCATACTTGTACTTTAGTAAGCTAGCACTCTCTAGTCCAATAAGAAATCAAGCACTGCAGACACTTCTCCAAGGCCTTTCATCAGACAACAGTTGTCCCTACCTCGTCCCCTTCCTTGTGATCTTCAAACTTATCGGTAAAGAAATGCCCATCACAGAACCTGTAACTTGTTAAGTGATTAACAAAGAGATTTCTCTTTGGGTAATATCACTATGTTTATCTCTTGGTACTTGGCATTTTGACTTTGGAATATAAATTAGTCTTGGACTCGGCAGCTATTAGGTATTATATATACAAGATGATTACTCTTCTTTGTCTTGAAAAATACTATTTAATTACAGCTTCACAGAAGACTTTAAATTCCATTTTCCCTCCAGAAAAAAAGAATACCTATAACTGGAGTTTATGAAAAATTATTAGTTGTAGCTAATCCTGGGTAATAAATTGGATTTTTAAAATCGGTGTGATTTTTAACACATTAGGCTTTTCATCAGGAAGGCGATGCTTACAGAAAATGCCTGTGGAATAATCAAGCAGCAATTTCCCTACCGTGCTGTTAAGACAAATACGATTGAGAAGATCATCTATGGAATTTGCTGGGTTGTGAAATTTGCTTTTTGAAAAGGAAATATCACATCACAGTTGGAGGACAAGCGGCAATTCCTAGTGACTTCTTATTCCCATGAGCCTGGGATTATGATTACCCCCTCTTCACTTAAATTCCAATCCTCCACTTAGAATTGTAAGAAACCTGGTTGGTTTGTATTAAAAAGCTTAGCTGGCTCTTATTTCTTGCATCATTTAACCAGAATTAACACTGTTATTCCCTTCCATAAGCACATATATGTGTACACGTACGTACGCGCGCGCGCGCGCACACACACACACACACACACACACAAACACACAGCCTCTTAAAAGTCCAGAGTTCCACTGGCCTGGGAAAGAAAATCAGTATGCACACAGCAAATATTGGAGTTGCATTTATATCAGCGATTCCTTTGTGAAAAACAAATTCCAACCACAACAACTTCACGACCCTAAAGAAAAGAATATGTTGACATTAAGGGGGAAAAATAGCTTTTCTAAAAGGAAGACTTTTCCCCCCCCCAGATGTTCTTGTTTGCAGCGACCTTTCCTGCCCCCTTTGTATCTCCTATCTAACTCCAATTCACCTTCACCCTTCAGGGGTGTTTATTAAAGACACATTATTTTCCATAATAATAATAAAGACTCAATCCAAATGATTATACTTTGCAGTAATACTAGGAAGACATGAAGGTTTTTGTTTTGTTGTGAAGATCCTTTAGCAACAGCACCTGGGAGGTGTTAACCATCAAATCCATCAAATCCATAGGGACAGCATGGAGCAGATAATATAAAACACGAAAAGAAAATAGTAGTAACTGGTATGCACACATCTTAAAAGGCATGGAGATTACCTGATCAACTGGAATCTCAACTTGGGTATCTTCATCTTCTTGGATTTCTGCTGCCCCCCGCGTTTCAGATCTTTCTGCTCCAGCTTTGAAAATGCCTTCATCTGTTATTTGAGACAAACACAGAATGAAAATCAAAATCCAATTGTGACATCGTGTGGCCAGATGTTGGAATTACGAATACTTACTTTTTTTTTTTTTTAAATAAGGTTTTTTTTAAAAAAAAAAAAAAATAAGGTGTTTTGGTGCCCTTTGTATTGATGGGATTTTTGTAGCCTTCTCTCTCCAGTTCTACATTTTCATAGGGGAAGGTTCAGGAGCTAAAACAAGGCTGAGCCACACAGAAGAGCTGTGCCCCAGACTCATCCTATGGCTCCCAATGGAATCACACAACCTTATGCAGGTCTATAAATGGGGAGGATGTCACACCTATTATCTCTGTTCCCCCTTTCTATCCACAAAAGGGTGATGATGCTTGGTGCTTCAAAATATGATTTTCCCAAAAGAATAGTATCCATTGAACATAATGTATTGGAATAATTCTCTCTATTCAGTGTAACATAAAAAATGTTTTACTGCAAACAGAATCATAAAGCTGACTCCACATCTCACAAATTAATCTTTTATTTTGCAGATTTCCACGGGATTTTCACAACCTACATCTTAAAATCCTTAACTATAAAATGTAGCCTAAATCTCTAAGACTTTCGGGTGATGCTCCCGCGACTTGTTTTTCTATGGAAGACAATAATAGCTGCTTTCCATATTTGAAGTCATTGAAACGTCTCCTCTTGGTCTTCTTTTCTTCAGGCCAAGTAATCAAAGAGCCACAGAACCATTTGTCATTGTGTCTACCTACTTGCCTCCAGCCAGATTTAATGATTCAGTCATTCTCACAGATGTTTTCTCTGTCCAATTTTTAAGGATTTCCAGGGATGGAGATCTCACCTCCTTCCCTGGTAATCTATTACAGTATTTGATTACCCTCACTGCCTAGAAAATGTGCTTTTATCTTTTGCCTTAAGATCCCCTCTATTTCTCTAGTAGAGGTTGTTTCCCAGAGTACAACTGTGCGACAATTTCACACACATAATACTGTATGTAGTGGAGGAGATGAAGTCACTATTAATTAAATGTAAAATAGATGTTTATATTCACTGAGGATCAGTTATATGTAAGGCACAATGCAATGGTCTCAGATACGCATGAGATGTAGGCTGTTTCCTCAAGCTGCCAATGGTTAGACAGAGATATAGACACACCTCCTGAGGCACCCTGAGCTAAGGACTATAATAGGTAAGGGCTATAGCAGAGAGTTATGGAAGCTTAGATATAGAGCAAAAAGGGGACGGAGGGAGAAAATTTAACAAAACTCAAGCCCTTTTTGTTGGTCCTAGAGAGCCATTTTCCATTTTAATTACTCTATTTGTAACTTGACTGGATGTTAGCTTCTCTACTCTCCTTTTTAAAAAAACAGGGACAACAGAGCTCCCCTCAAAGCTGATTATACATGCTAGATTCATTCACATGGATTAATTCATTTTGAGAAGTATCTGCAACAATCATCTATTTTTTTAAAACATGCATTTATTTATGCGTACAAGAACTGGGGTACAGGCCAGCAGTGCTGGGGTTGAGAGGATTCACCAGACACAGAGCGGGGAACAGAACAGGCAGATCTATTGAAATACACTGTTGAGGGGAGCAGTGGGCAAGACAGGAGAGGTCTGTTGTGCCATGTAGGTATCTCCCTGTCCGGCCTGGGGATCGAACTCATGCCGCAGTGGCTGTGGATAGCTTCACAGTGCTGTGCTTAACCCCTTGCACCACCAGGGAGGCCCTACAACAATTGGTTAATCCTGCAATAATCATTTAATCCCAGACTGGTTTTCCTATCGTCCAGCAAAGTCTTTTCAACAAATGATTTGTGTCTGCCATCATCTCTGGTATGCTAAAGGAGTCCAGAATAATTTTTTTGTCACCAGAGTTTTCTTAGTTAAATCATCCTCTAGGTATATATAAAATTGATAATGCATACACATATACAAGATATGTTTAAAAAAAAACTCTACCAGATGATGATGTCAGCATTGGGAACTACCAATATTTTGAATTATCTCTACAGTGAATGATCCCCCAGGACACAACATATTCCAGATTATATGCTGACTCAGTCATATCTTACAACTGAGGGCATGGATCCAAAATGAAATTGCAGCCAAGAGTTCAGTGATATCCAAAGAAAGAATATAGGAACAAAACAGAAATGTGCTGATGCTCTCATATATGTCATAAATGCACAGAGTTTTGGTCATGCACTTAATAAGTAATCCTGAGCTAAAATGGTAGGGGGAGGACAATTCAGGGACTTGGAAAATAGCTGACAATTACTCTGTTCTAAAGGATGAAAGGATGAAAAGTGAAAGGGAGAAATCCCAGTCTACAAAATTGGAATCAGTGGAGATAGGGTAAGTTGATATTTATTTCTCCATCAAATTCTGGAACCTGGAACTCCAGGAAACAATAGTAGAAACAATAAAAATAAATTCCACTTTATTCTACATATGGAGTTCATAAGTTCGAGATGCACAGATGAAGAATAAATTAATTTCAAAAAGGGTTATGCAATTGATTGAATATTACCTTCTAAAATGGTTCAAAAAGGAAAATACAGGGAGGAAGGGTATATTTGACATTTGTTTCTACCTTTGAATTAGCTCAGGTGACAATTATACTCAGCCATGTAATGTTCCTGGAGTCAACCTCCAGAGAAAGATGTCGGACTCTGTGGCCTCTCATCATAACTTATGTACAAGACCTTTTGGACCATGTTTCACATCCAAATCTTGCACTTAGTCTCATAGAATCTACAAAGAGAAAACTCTAGGTACAATAAGACTATAATCTTAATACACACATTCAGTGAACTGTTTAACTGCATCTTAGCAGAGTTGTGTATGGCTTGCAGATGTGTTTCAGAATAAACATTTCACCAGAAAAGAAGAACACATAAAATAAAACTGTAAGGGCACTGGAATGGAAAAATGGCAGTCATCAGGCTATAAACAGCAGAGAGACAAATCAACAAAACTCAACATTGTGTAATCACAGATCTAAGTGTTTAGGTGAGGAGGAGGGGGAAGTGAGATGAAGAGAGACATGGATTCTGTTCATCAACAGACTATGAGATGTCTAACTGGACCGCTTCAGCAGCACTGAAGGTCAGGAAAATCAAGAAACCAAGGTCAGAAAAGAATTCAAAGGAATAAAGAGTGACAGAATAGGGAAGAACAGCTAGAAAATTAAACTTTGCGATGGAAGCAAATCTACTGGGATTGTAATAATTGCTAAAAGGCTCTGTAAAATGAAAAATAGAGTAATATGAATTTCTAGAGAAACAGTATTTTAAGTAGCATGTTGTGATTCTAGTTTATTTTATGCATTTTAGAAAACTGGGAGGATGCAGAAAATACACATCTTTCTAATCTCATGACCCAAAGATAACCACTTGTAGCATTTTGATCTCTCTCGCTATTGCTCTCTCACTCTCTCACTCTCTCTTTCATAAACACACGCATTCACTTACTCATAAAACTGGGATTTACTGTATACATAATTTTGAAGGTATTTTGTACTTTAAAATCATGAGCATTTCAACCAGTTCAGTAAAGTAGCAGGATACAAAATCAACACACAAAAATCAGTAGCCTTCCTATACAGAATCAATCTGAAGATAGAAGAAATCAAGAAAATCATCCCTTTTTTAATTGAAACCAAAAAAAAATCAAATACTTGGGAATAAACCTAACAAAAGAGGTGAAAGACCTATACAAAAAAAAATTATAAAACACTGTTAAAAGAAATAGAAGACATAAAGAAATGGAAAGACATCCCCTGCTCATGGACTGGAAGAATTAACATTATTAAAATGTCCATCCTACCAAAAGCAATATACAGATTCAACACTATTCCAATAAAAATCTCAATGACATTCTTCAAAGAAATAGAACAAATACTGATGAAATTCATACGGAGCCACAAAAAACCATGAATTGCCAAAGCCCTACTGATGAAAACAAAGGAGAAAGGAGTTATCACACTTCCAAACTTCAAGCTATACTACAAAGCCATAATAATTAAAACAGTTTGGTATTAGAACAAAAACAGACACACAGACCAATGGAACTGAACAGAGAGCCCAGAAATAAAGCCATACTTAATATGGACAAGTGATCTTTGACAAAGGAGCAAAGAATATGCAATGGAACATGGACAGATTGTTCAACAAATGGTGCTGGGAAAACTGGACCTCCACATCAAAAAAATGAAAGGAGACCACTACCTCTCACCATGCACAAAAATCAACTCAAAATGGATAAAAGAACTGGACACAAGACCTGAAACCATAAAATATATAGAAGAAAATATAGGTAAAACACTACAAGGCATACATCACAATAACATCTTTAAAGGCTCATCACCCAAAGCAAAGAAAGTCAAGGAAAAGATAAACACCTGGGATTACATCAAACTGAAAAGCTTCTGCACAGCAAAAGAGCCATTAACCAAAACAGAGACACCCCACTGATTGGGAAAAAATATTTGCGCTCCAGTCAACTGATAAGGGACTGATCACAAAGATATACAAAGAACTCACATGACTCAATAAAAACAAAATAAACAATCCAGTCAAGAAATGGGCAGAAGAACTTAAAAGACATTTCTCCAAAGAGGAACTGCAAATGGTTAACAGGCATATGAAAAAATGTTCGACATCCCTTATAATCAGGGAAATGCAAATCAAAACCACATTGAGATACCACTTTACACCAGTAAGAATGGCACATGTCAAAAAAACAAGCAACAACAAATGTTGGCGAGGATGTAGTGAAAAAGGAACTCTCCTGCACTGCTGGTGGGGGTGCAAATTGGTTCATCCACTATGGAAAGCTGTCTGGAGGTTCCTCAATCTACTAAAAATGTAGCTACCATACGACCCAGCAATTCCACTCCTAGGGATCCACCCAAAGGACACAAAAACATTGATTCAAAAGAGCACTATTAACAATAGGTAAAACCTGGAAACAACACAAATGCCCAAAAA